TCGGCGGGTTTATTTTTGACGTTATGAAAGGGTTTCAGTAATTGTCTTTTTATGATTTCTTTCTTGCTATAGTTTTTACTCAAGAAATTTGTAGACATTCAACTTCTGTTTAATAAGCCATATCAGTTTTGCAAGCCCTATGAGACCAAAGTCTCTGGTTCATTACGGTGTTAGTGAAAGTTCATTTAGTCACAAAAGAATTTGGGTGTAAGCACCCGGTAGAATGTTGAGGTTTTCGATAAACTGTAAAATCATCTTCATCTTCCATCGCCACTTCTCCTTTCGAGTCGCGGAGGCAGACACGTCAGACAGATTCCAACGTTCCCGATCCTGTGCCAGACTCTGAGCTTCGACAAAAGACAAATGGAGTCTCGAACAGACTCCTTCCATATATTTGCACCAGGTTAATTTTGGCCGTCCCTTGGGCCTTCTGCCCGTCGGATTTGCAAGGAACATCTGCTTAGCGTTCCTTTCTGGAGGCATTAGCAACACATGCCCAAGCCATCGCAGCTGTGACTATTCAATCTGGAGAAGCAAATGCTGTATTCCAAGACTCTTACGGATGTCACTATTCCGGACCATATCTAGACGCGTAAAGCCAGCGACTTGTCTAGGAAGGCCCATTTCAGCAGCTTTTATCCGGGTTCGAAGTTTTTCAGTGATGGTCCACGATTCATGACCGAAGGTAAGTATGGGCATAAAAATCGACTTGAATATCGGGAGCTTAGTTTTCAGACTGAGCTCTGCTTTAGTTACAGTGGGTCGGCCCACGCACAACGCCATTGGCTATTCCAATTCGCCGGTCGATCTCTTCCTCCAGTTTTCCGTCACTAGTAAATACAGTTCCGAGGTACTTTAATTTCTCCACCTGCTCCACTGCCTCTCCGTTAATCTGACGAAAGCAACGGGCAGGAGAAATAGGCTTTTCGTTTTAACGTTCACACGCATGCCGGTCACGTCGCACTCGGCTGCGAACCTTTCTAAGGAGCACCGGAGATCAGTTTCAGAAGATGCTAATAAAACAAGGTGGTATGCAAAACAGCAACCTTCTCGATTTAACATCTCCTATACCGATACACTCATCGCCTTAGCAGCTCCTGACTATTCTGTCCACATACAACACAAACAGGAGAGGGGCAGGACGCAGCCTTGGCGGAGACCAGTGCGAACGTTGAATGGTATCGACTTAACGCCATTAACTCTGACACAGCACCTGCTATCAGAATACAGTGATTGGGTGACCCTTAGCAGCTCCCCGTCAACCCCGTATGCACGAAGGCATGTCCACAGGCTGTTGCGTTGGATCCGGTCATG